CTTTCGTCGTCACGGTCACACACAGCTTCGTCAGTCGACACACATCCGGGGCTTCGTCGCTCGGCACATCCGGGTACTCGGGCGACCCCGGCATTCCGACGTCGGCGCGGTCACACACAGCTTCGTCAGTCGACACACATCCGGGGCTTCGTCGCTCGGCACATCCGGGTACTCGGGCGACCCCGGCATTCTGACGTCGGCGCGGTCACACACAGCTTCGTCAGTCGACACACATCCGGGGCTTCGTCGCTCGGCACATCCGGGTACTCGGGCGACCCCGGCATTCTGACGTCGGCGCGGTCACACACAGCTTCGTCAGTCGACACACATCCGGGGCTTCGTCGCTCGGCACATCCGGGTACTCGGGCGACCCCGGCATTCTGACGTCGGCGCGGTCACACACAGCTTCGTCAGTCGACACACATCCGGGGCTTCGTCGCTCGGCACATCCGGGTACTCGGGCGACCCCGGCATTCCGACGTCGGCGCGGTCACACACAGCTTCGTCAGTCGACACACATCCGGGGCTTCGTCGCTCGGCACATCCGGGTACTCGGGCGACCCCGGCATTCCGACGTCGGCGCGGTCACACACAGCTTCGTCAGTCGACACACATACGGGGCTTCGTCGCTCGGCACATCCGGGTACTCGGGCGACCCCGGCATTCCGACGTCGGCGCGGTCACGTGACCTCGTCGGGTTTCGTTGCCGCCGCGGGTATAAAACTATTCCGCGCGAGACCCGTGCCAGTTACGTATAGTCACGAAACGCAGGAAGGACACGAAACGATGGCGGGGAGAGCATGTTACGCTGTCGCATTGTGCGTTCTCGTTTTACTACAAGGTACGTACGTGTTGTATTTCGTATTGTAAATTTTCATGTTATAGTTATTGCTATTATAACGTAGCGTAGTTAAAGGTACGCGTGTATTTTGCTAATGCAAAATCTCTATACCCGCAGAGTGTTCGTGTTATAAGCTACGTATGTATTTCTCCATTTTCATTTCTTGCATTCCAGTCTTTGCATTTTCTTGTTCTTACGTGTTTCGAGTCACTGCACTGTTGGTTTTCGTATTGCGCGTGGATAGATTATGAAAATATATATTCTATTCAAAATTTCGGAAGAATGTCTGGTAATATATTATAGTTTGTCGTAGTCTGTATAGTCAGTCGTTCGCGTATAGGCCTACGGTTTAGATGCTATTGCTATTGGCTTGTAAGGCGTGCTTGCGTTTCACTAGGTGCTATTGCGTAGGCTAGAGTGTGGTTTCTATGAGCGCTGTAACAACGGCTGTACTTGCGTGACCTTTGCTAGCTACTTGACGTAACCTCGTGTTTGACCTTGATGTTTGGCTTTGTCGACCTTGTCGTCTTAATATCATTTAATGTGAAGACCTCGACGAATACATCGAGATTTCATGATCAGGTTATGTGATTTTTTTAAATGCGTTTCAAATTTTTCGACGATTGCAAAGATTGCGACGTCTCGAATTACGAAGCATTTCTTTGTTTTATGTTGTTTTTTTTAGTTGTGAGTATACGCGTAGAGGGCGTTCCGTGCGACCACGAGTACAACCTAATCTGCTACTTCTGGCCGGAGCCGCAAAGCCCCCACCGCTGGGGCGACGGCTACTACGACTTCCATCACATCATGGCGGAGGACGTGTCTGACCTGTGCACTCACATCTTCATCGTAGAAGTGTTGGAAGCGGGAGGAGGAGGAGGTCATTCTCCCGGCCACCCCGACTCGGGAGGTGGAGGTGGAGGTGGAGGTGGAGGTGGAGGTGGAGGTGGAGGTGGAGGTGGAGGTGGAAGTGGTTTGGTGGACTCCCTGAACAACGCCTTGGCGGACGCCGTATCGCGGACGGGCGAAATTCACAAGCACGGAACCGGAGGCGGAACCGGAGGCGGAACCGGAACCGATGATTCTGCCGTCCCGAATCAGGACCATCCTCACGGCGACGACGACGAGTGCTGGCCTCTGGTGTTGGTGTCGTTCAAGGCGATGGGTCATTTCTTCTACGAATTTTTCCATCAACTGGATCATGCTCAAGCGTTCGGTTTTGCAATCGGGTAATGACACTATATAATTATATATATATATATATTATATATTTATATGTATTATATTATGGTGCGTGTGTGGTGTGTATGAGGGGGTGGGGTGTATGGGTGGGATTATGAGAGGCCTGCGCGCGTGGTGTTGGGGAGGGTGCGTGTGTGTGTGTGTGCGTGCGTACACTGTGTAGGGCATATAACATGATACCGTGACCAGGCAATATAGCATGATACCGTGACCAGGCAATATAGCATGATACCGTGACTATAGTATATAGCATAATACGGTGACCATGGAATATAGCATGTTGTACGTTTATCTTCAGGCTCGTTTCGGAGTTGCGTGCCGGGGGAATTGACGGGCTGGAACTGGACTGGGAATGGCCGCATGCCGACGACAAACTCCTCTACGCTGACATCTTTGAGGTTGGTATATAAGTAAATTTATTGACCTGACTATATTATTATTACTTATAAGTAACTAAGTACTAAGTACTTGTTACTAAGTAATAATAATAATAGTAATTTAGTAAAATTATTGACCTGTTATTAACCGATCTTAACACGTAACGCTTGTAAACCGAGATAGATAAGAAAAGGGGAGGAGGGAAATTATTAATGATTATTATTTATTTGCTGTACTGCTTGCTATACACTACTGCTCTACTTTGATAACATCGTTCGTGTTTGATAGATATTCAGGGCTGCCATCTACCAGGAGGCGGACGATTCGGGCGGCACGCCGTTGTTGCTGTCCGTACAGGCTCCCGCTGAGCTCCACCTGGTGCACGATGGGTTCGATGTCCCACGCATTTCCAGGTAAGAAGAGATATAATAGATTTATTAACATGAATGATAGATACATCATCAGTTTGATCATGGTTTCTATGCCACCGTATGCTTGTCATAGCTTTAATGTATAGTTGATAATGGTATATGTTCACCTTATAGCCCCACTCATAGCTACTACATCACCAGTGCCATTGGTCCTCTGAATGTCATACAGCCATTGGACTTCGGAATGTCACACAAAGGTCCTCAGACCAGGTTTTTTAAAGTGTTTTTTTAAAGCCAAATACTTTCTGATGATGGACCCTACAACATAGTTTTGTATACATATTCCTTCATGTGATCCTCGCTTCTCTCTTGAAATGTCATGGTCCTCACTTTACACCCGATGCGTGCGTCTCTCTCCCTCTATAGCTACATCATCAGTCATTTTTTTATTTTGACGTCTTGCTGTATGTTTTCTCTTTTCTTCCACCACAGCTACGTCGACATAATCAACCTACAGACGTACGATATGTACTCCGACCATCACTCCTACATGTGGACGCACACGGGCCATCACAGCGGCCTGTATGCCTCCGGTAACAGCCTGGCAAGCTACCAGAACGTCGACAACGCCGTACAACACTGGAAGAACCACGGAGCGGACCATCACAAGCTGCATCTGGGACTACCGACGCACGCCGTGACGTTCCATCTGCCGTCGTCGTCGTCCGATCGCTCACTAGGGGCGCACGCGTCGGGACCCGGTCACCGGTCGCTGTACACGCAGACGGAAGGCATGATGGCGTATTTTGAGGTAGATAGCAGAACGTATGTAACGACTGTAACAACAACAAAAAGCCATCCGCTATGAGTACAATAGTGCTTTTTTGTACGAGTGGAAGTTCTAAAATGAAACCTCCTATATAGTAACACTGGCTATAAAGGCTGACTGTGGTAATAGGCTCGCAAAAACACACACACATAGCGAAGGCAAAGCGTAACATATACACGTGCATTAGTGTTAGATTTGTAACGTGCGGGTTTGTCGTTTAGCTTTGCAGTAATTTCGTGATACTCGAGCATCAGCATGGATGCGTTGACTCTACACTGCAACCGGACATGAAGGTGCCGTACGGTTACTTGGAAGATCAGTGGTTCGCGTACGACCACGTCGGTAGCTTCGAGACCAAGGTAAAGAGGCGCACACGCTCACACACACCCGCGCCCGCACGCACACATATCACGCACACATGGGGCGCGCACGCACACACACAAGAGACAAAAGTAGAAGAGTTGCGAGCACACCGCCGCGCCGGCACGCACACATGGAGAGTCGGGACCACTTTACACCGATCACGCTTCACATGGGACGCACTGCTACTAGAGACAACGCACCACCATATCACGCTCACCTGAGACGCACGCACATCATATCACGCTCCATGGAGACGCACGCACACATATACCGCTCACATAGACGCACGCACACATGGGAGAGTCGGAGACGCACGCACACAGCTCACATGCAGACGCACGCTCACATGGAGACGCACGCACACATATCACGCTCACATGGAGACGCACGACGCACAGATATCACGCACACATGGAGACGCACGCACACACATCACGCACACATGGAGACGCACGCACACACATCACGCACATTGGGGTGGCGCGCACGCACACACATCACGCTACACATGGGAGACGCACGCACAACACATCACGCACACATGCGGGTTGCGCGCACGACAACATCACGCAGCACTGGAGAACGCACGCACACACATCACGCACACATGGGGCGCGCACGCACACACATCACGCACACATGGGGCGCGCACGCACACACATCACGCACACATGGAGACGCACGCACACACATCACGCACACATGGGGCGCGCACGCACACACATCACGCACACATGGGGCGCGCACGCACACACATCACGCACACGTAGGGGCGCGCACGCACACACATCCAAGCACGCACTCACACACGACGTGAAGATGCGCGTACGCACGCAAGCACGCACGCACGCATTTGCGCTGTCACGTAGAATGATTATACGATATACATCATACAGTTTAATATATTTTGTGTAATGCCCGTTTCGGGCTTTCCCTAGGCGTATATATATATATCATAGATGGAGATTAGAAACAATTACGATGTAGTTCTTGCTCGTTAATTATATCCGTATTTTTACCTCCGCATGACAGGTTTCGTACCTGAAATCGGAGCATTTGGGCGGAGCCATGATCTCCGACATCAGTATGGACGACTTCAATCACTTCTGCTCCGTGGAGACCTACCCGCTCATCCGCGCCGTACAGGAAGAGTTGGAGAACGGAGGCGGCGGCGGCGGCGGCAACCCGTGCAGCGGCGGCACTGGACACTGGCCACACGCAGGCAACTGTAAAAAGTTCTGGGTTTGCTTGGTCCAACAAGGAAACGTTCAGAAGTGGTTGATGACCTGCGCTCCTGGAACACTGTTTAACTCGAACTTGCGTATATGCGTACACGATACGCTAGAGAGCCATGCGGAGTTCTGTCATTAAGAGCTGTTACGTTTATAAATTACCGGGGGAGGGTGTTACGAAGGGGAGGGGGAGGAGGGAAGACGCGATTTTTGCACCAGGGAGACGTACACATTTTACATACCAGGGTATTTGCTTATTTAGCATATGTCGTGTGCTATTTTCAATAATCTTCAATAGCCGAGCTCGTAGAGCACAGGCGTTACGTCTGAAAGGTCGTTTGTTCGAATCGTTTTTTATTTTTATGTTTAGGGTTAGGTTAGGGTTCACAATGCGAAGTTGCGCCCTACTACCGTTCGGCTATTTCCGGAAAAATGTGTATTTCTCCCCGGTTTTGCGATTCGGAAGACGCATATTCTCGAATTTCGTCGCATAGATGGCGCTACGTACAAGATCGTTGTACATTGGACATGGTTATGTTTTTGTTTTTTAATTTTAACGTTAGTTTTCTAGAATATGCTGATCAAAGAATAGTAAGTTTATAAATAAGCTTATAGTTATCTGTATCTAGGAAAAACTGTTAATAAATTGTTATTGTAGTGAACAAATAATAGCATTTTCTAATCTCTATGCCTATGCCTAGGCTATGGTTTTATACGTTGACGCTCACTCGGTCACTGACGCTGAGAGGGTCTATGTCCCCCGGGGTACTGCCGTCGGTCTATGTCCCCCGGGGTACTGCCGGAACGTACCCTGGTACTATCTAATATGCCGTACCGTACCTCGCCTACTCCACTAACGAGTCTAGGGAGTCGCCTACTCTCTAACCCTAATCCTAACCCTAACCCTAACCATATCAAATAGTGACCAGGGTACGTTCCGGCAGTACCCTGGGGGACATAGACCCTATGAGCGACACTGACAGTGACACTGAAACTGGACATTTCGGTTCAAGGATAGAGAACATGGGTCCCAATAAAACCAATGTTATTTACATCAATATAAATATCATATTATATCAATATAATAGGTCAGGGTAATGGTTAGGATTAGGGTTTGAGTTAGGGTTAGGCACATGGGTTTTATTGGGACCCATGTTCTCTATCCTTGGGCCGAAATTTCAGCAAACACAAAATCAAATGAACCCCTGTTATCACTCTCCTGTCATTCATGCGATGCATGTTTCATAATGGCATACATTTGAAGTGTACCATTCCACCTTCTCATTGCTAAGTGACATTTATGGCAAATAAATTATAATACAGACATGATTATGAAATGACAAGAGCTGAACAATGTTACTTTGGTTGTTTCAGCCGCATCGTCCTTCCATTTTCTGTCGAAGAGGTAAGACTCTTAGCACTTACAACCAACCCGTCATGCAGATGCATGCCGTGATTCCTATGCAGATTTCTAACAAACCCCATAGTTACTACGTTATACTAGTTCAGCATCCTATATTGGGCCGTCTTGCATACCAAGCTATATATACCGGGGTCACAAACTAAGATTAAGCGCTGATATGAACATGCGCGTCGATAGCAAATCCGTCCCTACTCCACCACATGATTTACTCTTCCCTCTTATTTCGTACAGTATCGGCTGGCGCAGTTATGGAGTACGGCGAAAGCTAGCAAGCGAGAGACCGGGGGCGGCGAGGGCATAGAGGTGGTCGTGAACGAGCCGTTTAGCAGCCATGGCGTCACGTCGAATGGCATGTGTGCGGAGGGTCAGTACACACACAAAATCTACCACCTGTACAAGTAAGCAGTCAATACACATGCACAAGATCTACCATCTGTACAAATAAGCAGTCAATACACATGCACAAGATCTACCATCTGTACAAGTAAGCAGTCAATACACATGCAATCGTGTGTGTGTATTGACTGCTTACTTGTACAGATGGTAGATCTTGTGCGTGTGTATTGACTGCTTACTTGTACAGATGGTAGATCTTGTGCATGTGTATTGACTGCTTACTTGTACAGATGGCATATCTTGTGCATGTGTATTGACTGCTTACTTGTACAGATGGTAGATCTTGTGCATGTGTATTGACTGCTTACTTGTACAGATGGTAGATCTTGTGCATGTGTATTGACTGCTTACTTGTACAGATGGTATATCTTGTGCATGTGTATTGACTGCATACTTGTAGAGGTGGTATATCTTGCTATCACCCATACAAGTATGCATTATTAAGTTATTGAAAAACTTGAATCGCGTGCGATTTGAGTATAGTACCGCTATTCGCCCCGACCCTCGGTGACCCCACGAACCGCGATCGCTCGTCACCAGGTGTCTCTGCGTGTCAGACGTCTCGTCGTCATCATCATCGCTCATTAATGTTTACAGGAAGCTGCCACTGTTTCTTCGGATGATCATGCCCAAGCGTGCAAGCGAAATACACGAGAAGGCTTGGAATGCCTACCCCTACTGCAAGACCGTCGTCAGCGTAAGTGTCTTAGGATATCGTCCCGTGTCGGATTGCACGCAGCATCGAATGGTGGTTGGAGGCCAATAGGGGTGGGCAATACGGGTAATACACGATACGATCTGTATCACAATAAACTTTTAACAATACAATATGTACAAGGGCCTGTTCAGTTTGTTTAAGGGCCTGTTTAAAATTTTGCGTGGGCCTGTTCACATTTTGGCCAATTTCATGCCCTGTGTAATGTAGTAGAATATGGTTATAATGTAGTAATAACGTGTGTATACTCTGTGCATGGTTGATACAATATATATAATAGTAGGGAGTTGTGTTATAATGTAGTAATAAGTGTGTATACTCCTGTGCATGGTTGTACAATATATATAATTGTAGTAGGATTGCGTTTAATGTTAGTAATAACGTGTGTTATACTCCTGTGCATGGTTGTACATATATATAATGTAGTAGGAGTTGGTTATAATGTAGTAATAACGTGTGTATAACTCCTGTGCATGGTTGTACATATATATAATGTAGTAGGAGTTGGTATTAATGTAGTAATAACGTGTGTATAGCTCCTGTTCGTGGTGTACCATATTACTAAATGTAATAGAACATGGTATAATGTAGCGATAATGTGTATGCAAACTTACTAATGACAAAACCTAGATCCATGGACCGACTACGAGGTAGATTGACGTTACGCTGTCTCTGCAGAACCCCGATTCATGAAGGAAGGATGTACCTGGTGCTCGAATCGTTACACTGTCCCGACGCCGGCACGCAGGACGAACGTGAGTACTCTGTCATTCTCGTCGTCGTGGTTACGCGTAGTTCACGCGATGTTGCGGGAGAATTCCGGGGTTCCTTGCGTTCTGGGAATTCTGGATTCTGCGTTCGCCGCGTACGCGGTCAATCAGTTGGAATGCGCGGATGGTGAACCCGACGATGGTAGCGGTTGGACCGCAGCGTTGGAGAATGGCTCAGGGGCGGATCCAGGATTTTTAGGAAGAAGGGGGTGCACCTTTGTAAAAGGCACTACAAGTGGGGAGAAGCCCCACACTTGTACTTGTAGTGCTCCTTGTATTCGCCCCACTTGCAGAAATTAGAAAATTAAAGTGCTTAATGCATTTTCCTGGCATCTGGGAATGATACCATTGTATTTCTTAGTAGCAAAAAAAACAATGTTTTTTACTGAAACTTTTGTGTTGCAACATTTTATTTGTGGTGTGATGACAAAAGTGGAATACAAATTTACTCAAAAACACACTGTTTGCGAACATTCTTCTCTATGCAAACGGATGATCTATCGCAAACGTCTTCGTTGAAAGAGACAGGCTGAGGCTGTGGTGCAAGCTCGTCAAGGAACAGGATGCCAACCTCTCTGGCCCATTGTTGTACGGAGGAATGTTTTTATCCGCCTAAGGCAGGAGAACGACCGCTCAGCTCGCAAACTACTCACTGGCAATGTGCACCGCGAGATGAAGTAAAACCTAATGTTAGGGATTCATCAGAGTTCGTCACTTTAAACAGTCAAGAAGGTTTCCTGGTTTATCTTGTTTCTGTGTCAGAATGATATCCAGTCTTTTAATCTCATTGTTCAACGATGTGGGGAAAGGAAGATCATCCTTCCACATGAACAATTGTTCTGCAGGGCCGGGATGTCTGTGAATTTGCAGCTAGCAGAGGGTATCAAATTGAACAGAGCAGTCCCAATCGCGTTTTCAGCCGTAAAGCGAGTTTCCATTTCCTGTGACAGATGATCAAGGAATGGAATCGCAAGATTTCGCAGATAATACGCTCGCGACTGAGTGAATACTTGTCAGATACAGGCTGAGCGGCAAAACATACTGTTTTTTTAATAAGGCAACTTGCAAAAAGGGCACTTTGGGTGGGAAGGGGGGGGGGCACCTCCTGCACCCCCCTGGATCCGCCCCTGTGGCTCCACTTACGTTGCGTCTTAAGCCGCGCGTGTCAACATAGAACACGTTTGGAATTTCCCGGCTTGTCTAACCACCTGCATTGCTCTGAGGTTTACGTACGATCGCAAGTCGCTCTGTGCCTGGCACTACTGTCTCGAATGCTCGGATGTTTGTTTAGTATGACGGCACCACCTTGCGGTGAAATAATTCTACCACTAGGGGCAGGGCTGTCAGTGAGAATCGCTTCATTGTGAAAACATTGGTTGAGCGACCGCGCTGTTCTCTTGTTTATAGGTGCACATGCTGTCGAAGGCGGAGCTGCAACAGAGAGAGGTCATCTTCATCGACATCGCGAACGACCACGTCATGCGAGGGGTGAGCTAGCGCCCTCTATATTCACACATCATCGGCCATGTTAAATTGATGCGGCGGGCAAGCCGATGTTGCAGCCCTGCTGAGCCGATAATTTTCTAATATATAAAAATAAAAATAAATTTTATTAAATTTAAGCATTCAATTCAAATTAATTTTTAATTCCTAGACCCGTGATTTTGAGATAAATATCAAGGTTTTACCATAAAATTTTACTCTTAAATCTTTGACAATCTTCAGAGGGGAATGCCTTCGTTTAGGGTTTAAGAGTATAGGTTTTACCTGGAAATTGAGAATTTATAATTTATTAGAAGTTTAGAATTGATCTCGGAGCCGTTGACGGACGGTCTATGTCGTGTCTTTCAGGATTGCAGGGCCGATGAAGATCCGTCTGCATTCACCTCATTGAAGACTGGTCGCGGACCTCTGGGAACGGATTGGCAGGTAGGTGTGCGTTTATGCATATGCACAATTTATGGACTGATTAATGCACTATCGAATAAATACATATAGGCAGGCCGATTCGTGTGCTGGGCGTTATTCGACAAATATTCGGCAAACAATCGAATCACTTCTCTGAAGACCGGTTGCGGACCCCCTAGTAACAGATCGGAAGGTAGATGTGCGTTTGCGCATACAGATGCCAACCACTACGATTTGTCCGTATTTTATACGAATTTCTATTCCTTTTGCACCACTACGACCAGTTTGTATCAAACTACCAATTTCACTGTGATCGAAAATATTGTGTTTGTTGTCAATTATTGTCATTGTTGACCCTCAGAATGCAGGAAATTGCATCTCAGAATCAAAAAAATCTTCCGGGGGGCATGCCGGACTCCCCTAGCAAACTCGTGTCACTACGTGACCCTCGAACTACTAATTTGATGGCCACAAACTACAGATTTATTCAAATATGTGTTGGCATCTCTGCGCATACGTACCGATTACGCAGCATCCGAATGAAGAAAGTTACACCGAGCGCTGGCGGATTCTCGGGTTTTCCTAAGAGCAAATTTTCTTCGCATATTTCTGCACATGGCATTTTTCCACGTCACTGTTTTTTGTGTGAATAATACGGCGAATTTCGTCCGCAGTCCATCGCGAGCCCGATCATGTGCTGCTACAAGCTTGTGCGTGTCGAGTTCAAGTGGTGGGGCGTACAGGATAGAGTGGAACAGTGGGTTCAGCAGGTGAGATGGCAACATGGCGGCGGCGAATTCGCGTGATAATTAACTATTAATAACGATATTTAACTAGCGTTGAATCTGCAGGCGTGTGTTGTGTGACTTGTGTCGAGAGAACATACCTGATTGCACTGATGTTACCTTTGATACGTAATAATAATAATAATAATAATAATAACAATAATAACAATATAATATATATAAGATTTATAATAGGGTTGAATGAAAACTTGAATTTCTGGGAAAACTGTGTGAGGTGGGTGAGGGAGAGGTGGGTGAGGTGGGAGAGGTGGGTGAGGGAGAGGTGAATCTCTAACGAGGAGCCTGGATGGTGAACCAATCAACGACGATGGGGGCAGTAATAATAATAGTAATAACAACAATAATATCAATAATAGTAGTAACAATAATGTTGATAATAATAATAATAATAATATTATTATTATTAATAATAATAATATTACAATAAAATATAAGCCTCTAATACTACTGCTACAACACAGCTACTGCTACCTCTAAATACTACTGCTACCAAACAGCTAACTGCTACCTCTAATACTACACTGCTACCAATACAGCTACTGCTACCATCTAATACTACTGCACCACTACAGCTACTGCTACCTCTAATACTACTGCTACCAATACAGGCTACTGCTACCTTCTAATACTATGCTACGTGCTACCATACAGCTACACTCTAAGAGCTACTGCTACCACTACAGCTACTGCTACCTCTAATACTACTGCACATCTACAGCTACTGCTACACTACAGCTACTGCTACCTCTAATACTACTGCTACCACTTACAGCTACTGCTACCTCTAAATACTAGACTGCTACCACAATACAGCTACTGCTACCTCTAATACACTGCTACCAAGTACAGCTACTGCTACCTCTAATACTACTGCTACATACCATATACAGCTACTGCTACCTCTAATACTACTGCTGCTACCAATACAGCTACTGCTACCTCTATACTACTGCTACCGAATACAGCTACTGCTACCTCTAATACTACTGCTACCAATACAGCTACTGCTACCTCTAATACTACTGCTACCACACAGCTACTGCTACCTCTAAATACTATGTCTACCACACAGCTACATGCTACCACTACAGCTACTGCTCAGCCTCATAATACTACTGCTACCACTACAGCTACTGCTACTCTAATACTACTGCCTACCCAATACAGCTACTGCTACCTCTAATACTACTGCTACCACTACAGCTACTGCTACCGTCTAATACTACTGCTACCACTACAGCTACTGCTAACTCTAATACTACTGCTACTCTAATACTACTGCTACGACTACAGCTACTGCTACCTCTAATACTACTGCTTACCACTACAGCTACTGCTACCTCTAATACTTACTGCTACAATACAGCTACTGCCACTCTAATACTACTGCTCCACTAACAGCTACTGCTACTCTAATACTAACTGCCTACCACTACAGCTACTGCTACCTCTAATACTACTGCTACCCTCTAATATACTGCTACCAATACAGCTACTGCTAACCTCTAATACTACTGCTACCACTACAGCTACTGCTACCACTACAGCTACGTGCACCTCTAATACTACTGCTACCACTACAAGCTACTGCTACCTCTAATACTACTGCTACCACTACAGCTACTGCTACTGCTACTGCTACTACTACGGCTACCACTACCTCTGCTGCTACTGGCTACCACTAGAATAACTGCTACTGCCTACTCGCCACTGCTACTGCACCCACTACTGCTACTGCTACTACTACAGCTACTGTACTGCTACTACTACAGCTACTGCTACTGCTATGCTACCCATTATCGCCACCACTACTGCTACTGCTACCTCTGCTGCAGCCACTACAACTACTGCTACCACATTAGCTACCGCTCCTCTACCGCTACCACTCCCTCTACCGCACCGCACTGCTACCACTACTGTTGCATCGTGCATACCTCATTAGCTGGTAGTATGGTTCGATCCTCGTACTTTCCGCACCTCCTCGCTCGTGAGTCCGTACCACAGATCGATCCAGCAGAACATCTGGCGATGAAAGTTGAGGAAGAGACGGCCCTCCGACTACGCGCGGAAGAAAATACCGTTATTACCACCATCGCCCAGCCCTCTTGTTACGGACGGACGTGCCCTCCCACTCTCCCCACATCCCAGCGAACAGCGCTCGGTAATTCAAGATTTTCGTTCAACCTATTATATATCTTATA